CCCCCCACTTTAGGTAGATCCGCCCCTATAGATGACCCAGTTGAGAAGATACATGTCAAATTAGCTTTATCACTATTGTTGTGGCTCGGAAACTGTTCTTCCCTTGCTAAGTTTGGGTAGCCAGTCATCCTAAGCTTGATGCTCTATCACACAATTAGTTGAAACAAAACGCCAGCTGAATAATCCAGCAGAAGAACCAGGAGGTTTTGATCCCGGGAAAACTCTTATTCACTAAGTCATTAACTGAGCTTGAAGATGAATGAGTTAGAACTACGTAAGCAAAGTTTTTCCTTGAGAACAAATAGGGCTGCAAATGAACCGATCCGAGCCGTGCTTCAGCCTGTTCATGTTCGAGCTCGTTTGTCAAAACCGTGTTCAAGCTCGACTCGAAGCTTGTCGAGCTTTTTGGACAGGTGTTCGAGCTCATACTCGTTTAAAATGACCACGTTCGAGCTCGGCTCGTGCTCAACTTTGAGCTCATTTAATTTCATGTGTGGCGAGCCTCTTATCGAGCAGCTCATTTATAACGAGACGACCACAATCTACAAAATATTTTTTTATAATTAAAATCAAACGGATAGGCCAATGTCCCGATCAGGCAACCAGCCCAACCTGCCAGCTTCCCGCAACTCTGCAATTAGTCTTCAGATGTCTTTGTTTTTAAATAGCAAAAATATTGCATTCCAGCCAGTGTGGGACTAAACGCTCACAGCTGCCACCGAGGAGAGAGAAAGGGTGGGCGGGTCCTGCGGGAATTAAAAAAACTTCTTTTTTTTTGTTTGAGCGGGAATTGAGACTTGAGGCGGGAGTTTAATAAACTTTTTATATTTAATAAAAATTTTAGTAAATGATTTAATAAAAATATTTCTAATTAGTTAGATTAGTAAAAATATAAGTTAAAAATATGTCTAATGAAAATGGTTAAAGTTTAAAAAATTAAATTAGTAAATATAAATTATTAAATGAGTATATTTAATAGTATTTATTTTTAAAATTCTAATTGAAATCTAGTCGAGCTTGTTCACGAGCTTCTGAGCGAGACTGTTCATGAACATAAATGAACTGAATGACACACTGTTCAAGCTCGTTCATTTAGTTATCGAGTATTTATCAAGAGTTCAAACTCGTTTGTTAATCTTATCAAACGAACATGAACGAACCCTTTTCGAGCCGAGCCACGAGTAGCTCATCGTACGCTCGGTTCATTTGCAGCCCTAAGAACAAGAGAATGAGTAGAACACTTTATCCTATCCTCATGGGAGTATTTATAGGCATTTGTATGAAGAACATTTTGATAATTTGGCAAAACTTAAGTTGGATAGATTAGACATTTTGCCTCCGAGATTATGCTGGACAGATATGCCCCTCAATTAAAGCTGTTTTGATCCTCTAATCGATCAAATGACAGGAAAAATCTGGATTGTATGGCTAAACATACACGGAATTTAAGAACGGTGCTGATAATGATCTAAATTGGATGGTCAGATTAATGTTGAAACCATCATAACAGTGCCAATGAAAAGTACTTCATCAAGGTCAATCGGAGGTTGGCACAAATCTTGATGTGAACCAGTTATGCAAGAGCCATATAAGGATCCCCATCATGTTCAATCATAATTGCTTGATGTCAGATCCCCAAGACCCAGCCTAGTCAAGCAATCCACGAAACATGACGCACCAAGTAAAGTTGAGAAATTCTAGCTCAATATCATCCGCTACCCGACTGAATTCGCTGCTTCCAACAACTCTTACATATGGCATAATCCTAGAGGTTTAATTATCCAACCACCATTAGGCATGTTTTGCTCTTCATTCACATTTATATGTGGAAATTCCCAAAAGGGCACATTCTCCCATTATTGGTAATAGGATCTGTTCATATAGACTGGCAAGTTGGGAGCATAACTAAAAAGCAACCTTCGCCAAAATCACACAACAATTCATTAAACATGGCTACTTAAACAGCGATAAGACTCAACCATTTGGCATCTAAATCTCACTTTGTAATGGTTTTGAAGTCTCAGTCCATTTAGAGGCAAACACCCTCATCTTGGTCATCTATACTTATAATCATATTAGAATGCACATTGCTCACTTGATGCACATAACTTTACTCTGTTAGATCTTCACTCCACTCAAACACAGGGTCCCAACTAACTTAATCCATACTCATCAATCCACTAATTTTACCCTAGTCAGTAGTCTCTCATCCTAGTCAACCCATATCAATCAACTAGCCTAATCAAATCGGCTCATCTACACATCTAGCGAAACAAACCAAAACTTACAAGTCCCAGCAAAAATGTTCACACACACTTGTCCACAACACATTTCCCAAACAAACTCCAATCCACTTAAGGGGCTTTTTTTTTTTTTTTGAACATACTTAAGGGGCTATTTGGTTGGAAGAGAAGTGAATGCGAAGTAAATTAAATGCATTACTTTTTCATTTTTTGGTGTTTGATTAGATGAAAAGAAAATCCATGATAAAGCAAAGTAAATGCAATATATTCCATTTGAGGTAAAGCGTTCTCACCCAATTTCACTGAGAATGTTTTACACCACTCAAATGCTTCTTTGACAACCCACAGCGGCCACGCCCCCCTCCCCCATTTATGTGACCAAACCATCTAAGGCGACTTTCTCTAATCTTATCTTCTACTGGAGCTACTCCAACCTTTTCACGTATATGCTCATTTCGTATCCTATCTCTAAGGATAAAGCCACTCATCCACCTGAGCATCCTCATCTCTATCACACTTAACTTAGTATTATGCTTTTCTTTTAATGGCCAACATTCGGCACCATAAAGCATTGCAGACCTCACTTCCATCTTATAGAAGTTTCCCTTAAGTTTGAGGGGTACATTTCTATCACATAACAAACCCGATGCATTCCTCCACTTCAACCATCCAACTTGAATTCTACTGATAATATCCCCATCTATTTCACCATCACTCTGAACAATAGATCCAAGATATCTAAAACGTGTACTCTTATTAATGACTTGATCGCCCAAAGTCACAATCCCCTCACTAGGTCTATTACGACTAAAATTACACTCCATATATTCCATTTTAGATCTACTCAAGCGAAAACCTTTAGACTCTAAGGTTGACCTCCATAATTCAAGTTTACCTTCAACTCCCTCTCTACTCTTATCAACAAGAAGAATATCATCAGCAAAAGCATACACCAAGGTACATCCTCTTGCAAATGTCTAGTGAGAACATCCATGACTAAAGCAAAAAGATATGGGTTAAGGCTGATCCTTGATGTAACCCAACCGAAATAGGGAAATACTTGGTCAAATCACCTTGTGTTTGAACACAAGTAATAGCTCCTGCATAAATATCTTTAATGATTTGAATATAAGCATTATTGACTCCTTTTTTTTCAAGAACTCTCCATAGCACTTTTCTTGGAACTTAATCATATGTTTTTTTCTAAATCAATAAATATCATATGTAGATCCTCCTTATTTTCTCTATATTTCTCCATCAAACCAAATAAAAAAAAAATTCATGTATTCCTTTATCATTCATCCAACCAGCTACAAAGTATTCATTTTACACCGCAATCCTTTTCACACTGTATTTTTTTTCAGAAAATCAAACAGCCCTTTAGTCAAGAATTCTATAAACATCCAATCTTATGTTCCTAATCATCCGCTTTTGTCATGAGTCAACTATACCCGGCCAACATCTTTGATAGACCTATGACGCCCTATACTATAATTTGGAAGATTTATTATTTTATCTTTTAATATACAATAACCAGAGTTGCATAATTTCTTTTATCAATATAAATACCAACAACAACAACAACATCAAGCCTTTATCCCACTACGTGGGACATCAATATAAATACCAACAAAAATAAAACTATTGATTAAAAAATTAATATATACATTTGTATTCATTATCCAAAAATCAAGTACACTGCTCAAGATCTATATAATTACAATCTATCATTTCAGTCCGAATACAAAAGAATAACTACAGACATAAAAAAAAATGACTAATAGTAAACCTAGAGAAACATGATCAAGCTCACACTCCTGATCATATGCTTTAACCTGCAATCATTTAAATCGCATATAATGAGTTGATAGCTCAGCAGATCACTAAAATCCTATAATTGAATTCAAAGCACGGTAAAGAAGCAGTAAACATGTTGTTATTCAATTCATAATAGTAATAGTCATATGATCAAGAATCGGTGCAAAAATAGTAAAACTCACATGTGGTAGTAGTAGAATCTGGAAACAGTAAAATAGTACGGTATGAAAGCCAGTAAAATATTACAATGGGGAAACCAGTAAACTAGTACATATGTCGAATCGATAAAACAATCATCATATCAGTACTATCAATCAGTAAAGAAATCGTATAAAGCAATAAAATCAAAGCATTGGTAAAGACTATTATAAATCATATCAATGAAGTAAATCGAGAATAGTAATATTAATTTAGTAAACTAAAAAAAATAATCACATTTTATATCAAGTTCAGTTCAATATCATAATCGCATACTCAATACATCACATAATCAATCAATCAGTAAATAATACAGTGAATCAATAACAATAATAACAATAGTAACAGTATAAGTAGTAGCATCGGTATCAGTATCAGTGACAGTATCGATGCAGTATAGTAAATCAGTAAACAGCATTGTCGGCACTCGGTAACAATATCAGTATCCATATCGGTATCAGTAAACTCGCAGCAGTATTAGTAAATCCGTACAATAATAAGAACAATGCCTCAATAACATGAATTTTAGTAGTCATGCTAAACAAATAAGAAATCCTAACTTCATCGTGTTTTCCTTAGTATTGTATCAGTATCAGTAAATCGTTGGCTCAATAAACAGAGTCGCCACTCTTTATCTGTCAGCACAGCAATCATCTCCTTGTAATTTCAATCATTACGATGTAAATCAAACGAGGATAACACCAAACAACATATTTAAAGTAAAAGTCCGTCAGCCCACCATCCAATACCAGTCAGTTTCCATCCAACATTAGTGAAATCAGCCTTTTACTTATTTTTCACATATATTAATATCACATTTTTTAACAATAATAGCAATCAGATATTACTCAACCACATGTCTATATTCATTCATAATGCTTGTATTAATAGTATGCTTAAATAAAAATATTTATATTCAAAAAATATATATAATTCAATAACTTCTATTTACCCGATGAAATTCAAAAATGATATAGTCAAAATCTCTAAAATAATCAGTACAATATCATATAAAAGTTACGCAGTAAAAGTTCAATAAATTTGAGGAAAATACAATAAAAATTAATTTTGGGGAGAATCCCAAACGGTTGAAATCAAAATCTTTTAAAATAGAAGTAGGATCAGAGTCACATATCACAATCTAAGCAAGTTAAAACGGCAAAGAGATCCGGCAACTAAAATCAATTTCTCTTTTTTTCTCTCCTTTCCTTCCCTTCCTCCTCTTCTTCATCAAGGCGTTGTGTTGAAATTGAAATTGTTTCATTTAAAAAAAAATCATTTCAAAAATGGGTTATTACAAGACCACCTCGAGTTGTACCAAACCCAAAACCCTATCAGCCTACACAATTGTTTTATTACTCATTAAATTAAAAGTCAGAAGCCACTACCTAACAATATACTCAATTCAGTTAGTCGCATCCAAGTTGGTCAACTTAAAATTTTGTGAAGCATAAATCCTCTTTAATTAAGTAAAATCTAGCCAGGTAGCTTTAGTTCCAATCAAAAACCACAAAACAACTTGGACCACACTCATAGGGGAAAGAAATAAAAGTTCGGAAATTTTGGGAAACGGCAACAAAGAATCTATGCGCGAATATTAACATCTTTGATCAAACAATTAAAGTTAATTAGAAGTTATATTTTAAGGTCATATCAACAATGAAGCTCAACAAATTATTTCAATCTCAATTAATTGCAATATTTTACAAATTTTGAATAACAAGGGCATGTCCATCAATTTAAAGGTCAATTTCCATAAATTTTTAGAATAAAGAGGGGATAACTACATTTTGAAATATAGTACTAATGCAATACTACAATTATCACTCATATGACTTATGTGGCTTTTTTAGATCCAACTAGTCCTAAACACAAAATAATACATGTTAATAATGGGCTTATGATGCATCTTGGAAGTAAAAACAGCAAGTAGATACGAAGAAAAATCCAAGAATCAAATATTAGGGCTGATTTTTATTATCACTTCAACAAATAATGAAAGATACAATTGATCTACTATTCGAGTAGATTGGCTCTCCCAAAAATGCTAGGCGCCTCTAGGAACAACTCTAAAGAATAATTATAGCAAATACAATCACATAATGAAAACAAAACAACTCAATTAACCCTAATATAAACTTTCCTACTTTCCTCCCAATTTTGAATTCAAATCAGCTATCTTTCCCTAAATAAATCTTTCATAATTCCCTCCCAATCAAATAAGCCATCTTTTCCTAAATAAATATTTCCTAATTTCATCCCAATCAAATCAGCCCTCTTTTCCTAAATAAACCTTTAATAACTCCCACCCAATCAAATCAGTCATCTTTCCCTAAATAAATCTTTCCTAATTAGTTCCCCTTTATTTATCCTCCTTATATAATGAATAATAGATCCCCGGGTCCCACAAGAGCGTATCAGCTTCACAACAACATCAGATTATTAACATTTTGTTAGGTATGTTATATGTATGTAAGTAAATATATAACACAAGAAAGGATCAAATTATAGGTAAAAAACATAAAGATAGGTTTGAAAAACAACGGTTCATAATAGTTACTTACACTAGAACAGGTGTACACAAGAAGGGTCATCCAATTCCATTTCTCTAGCAAGCAAGCAGAGGAGCCATCAACAGCTTCATGAAGAAAATACAACAAAGGGGGCATCATTTGCATTTCAAATTGTCGTGGTGAACCACAAAGATTGCAAGGATTGGGTTCTGCCAAATCAATTTTAGCCAAAAGTGGCGTACCACCATATGAATACCTACATAAGTTAAAAGTAAGAGGATAGTGAGATATGCTAAATAATCATTAGAGAATTGATGGGTACCCATTTTCATCACTAAAACTTTGAAATTTCCGATTTACTTCGTGTACTATAAAAAGAGAGAAAAGTAACTTGACAAGAGTCGGCTTCTTCCTTAAGCGAATTTCATAGTTATTCACAAAAAACAAAAGAACGTGTTTATTTTTATTTTTTTTAATTGGAATTCAATCCCAAAATCTTGTTAATAAGTTCCAAAAGTCATTACACCCAGAACTAGCTACGCTCATATACGAAAAAAACTTTGCTGAAGCAATAAATCTATAGAAAATTGTTCTAGGCTACAGGTGAGGAAACCTTTTCTATCATATATTGAATTCTCAAAGAAATTGAAAGACTTTACACATTGGACGGTGAGAAGTTTTATACATAATAAATTAGAAGTTATAATGTTCTAACTATATAATCATTGAAGATAACTCCAAATTTCAAATGCATTCTTGAAAGCAACAGAATATGAAACAAAAAGATGGATCAAATCACTCTATCTCCAGTAAGACACTCCCTTGCCTATCAATACTTCGTTCATTATAAGATGCTCTAAACCAATTTTGAGATCTACATCAAGTGAAATAGATAAAATAAAAATCAGGCAATTATTCTTAGTGCTAAAATATCATTTGCCTTTTCTTGAAAGTTTACATTTGAAAAGACTATCATCATTATCATCTTCATCACTCAAATCATCCGAATTGATCCATGCAATTTACATGGTATTCACTCATGCTATCATTGTCATTATTCTCTAATTATCACACATCTTCATGCAATTTACAAATATTAACTCTCTGCCTGTATTCCCTACTTACCCGACCATCCAGTTCCAGTTTCTGCATTGATCCATGCAAGTCTTCAGGCAAGTTTCTTATATAAGCCATCTTACTAGATACCAGTGTAATGAAGCTCAAAATTGAAGAGGTTGTCTACATTGACTAAGAAATTTAATGCATATAAATATTTTTGCAAGCATGTAACCAATCTTTTTCTATTTGCTTGATAAAATTTCAAATATTTTCAAAGTTTTAAGCTAGTTGGATAAAGGGTTCTTCAAGTGCTATCCAAATACAATTACAGATTCATAGGAGAAGTCACCTCCTTGTATAAACATGAAGCCAAGTTTTTTTTCTAGTAGTGCACGTTGCTCTTCAAACTTTTGAGCTTATTTCCTATCCCTAGAATTCAAAAAAGGAAAAAAAACAATCAAATTTAAAGGAAGTGAAAGCAATCAATGGCCCATCATCATTTTGACATCTAAATAACACTAATTAACCTTGCAAACCTAAATCATCAGAGGGTGTGCATAAATTAGGAAAAATCATTAGAAATCATCAATTACAAAATATATCTTTAAACTTTTTTATTGGTTATTTAGCCATCAGTAAGCAATGTGTCCAATGTATGTTTGTTAGAAGAGTTTTTCTTTACACTTGTCATATGTTTCATTTATTTAAGTGTATATTATAAAATACATTTTATCCATCCATAATGATTATTATATTTATATTGATGTGATATGATGTTGAATTACTTATGTCATTTTAGTTGTTACATAAAGTTTTATGATGTTCATGTGCATTGCTTTGATCAATAAGAAAAAAATATTACTTACACAAATCAAGAACTTTGTTGATATCTAACAAATTTTTATCACAATAATTATAGAATCTTTGTTATAGCACCTTGATCATCATATAATATTTATATAATATATTCTTGCAAGTACAATCACTACAGAAAATTAGCTATTTTCGGCAAAATATCGGTCGTCGCAAACACGGGCGGATATTCCGGCAAATGTACATTCTAGCGAATTTTTCAGTGAAAATTGTCATCGATAATTTCCGACAAAAATTTTCGTTAGAAAATCCACCGAGAAAGGTCTTATTTTCGTTGTTTCGTGTCGTCCTCCGCCAACTCACCGAAACAGCCTCTTGAACTCTATTTTCACTAAAAACAGGCAGTCTGCCCCTCAATCCCCATCATTGTTATTCATCGTTCACCAATCGGATTTTCTTCCATTCACATTGTCATTCCTCCGTCAATCATCTCTTTTCGCCAATCAGACGAATTCTGTAAGTCTCAGCTGATAAATCTTTTGGATTTGCATATCTATTTAAGTTTGATTTTAAAATGTGTTCAAGTTTCAAATATATTTGAAAGTTCATCATGTTGAAGTTCATTTAAAGTGTTTTGCTTTCAAAAGTTGGCTTATGAGCTTAGTGGAAAGTAGTTCTTTACAATAACATCCATAATGTAAAAACCTAAGTTCATTTTAACTATTTTTTTTATTTCAATATTCATTGAATGAAATATAGATATTCCTTGGCATCATGTTGTTGCTTGAGCTCATGCCTAAGGTTGGGTGTAAATAAGTCGCATATTGATGAATAGAGTTTTGTTCATGTTCAACTTATCATCAACTTTTGAGACCAACATAAATGAGTTTAATCTTTATGAAGATGAAACATATTTTATTGTCCGTCACATTTGCTATCAAGCTTAACGAAAACAAGCATAGTTGATGACCACCAAACACATCAATGACATTTTCACTTATGTTATCATTTGTTTAAAATAAAGTTATGATTTTATACAATAAAACATTTTTTATTTATGAACCTTAAATATATGTTTCATATATTCTATGTAACATTCACTAATTATTAGATATGGCCTTAATATCATGTAACCAAAATTTTAATAATATACGAAAGAGTCACCAAATACGTAAGCACAAAATTTCTATGATTTATTGTGTGATGCGTAACAACCAATTTGAGATGGGTGCACTCCTCAGAGTTATTTGTTGTTGTGAAAATGTTGAGCAAAAAGAAAAAAAATTAATAACCTTCGAGAATATTTTAATTAATTTATTGGCTGCCTAAGAAGACCAACCTGCAGAAAATACAATTCCAGCAAATTTATATAAGACTAAGAATTTGATTTCCAAACTAGGTCTGGCAGCTATAAAAATAAATTATTGTGTTAATGAATGCATGTTATACTACAAGGATGATTTTTCAGAGATAGCACATCGTCATTACAACGCGCCAAGATTTAAACCAAAATTTGAAAAAACATAGAATAAAGAAAGATGTGCTAGTTAGTCGATTGATTTACTTGCTAATTACTCGCAGACTCCAACGTCTATATTAATTAATGAGCTTCATTACACATATGAGATGGCATAACAAACACATCTCGCTAAGAGGTGTTTAAACTCATATGTTAGAAACTAAGGCCTGGAAGCACTTGAACAATTTACATCCTACTTTTATCGCATAACCAACTAAAATATAATATTGGGGTTATGCGCAGATGATTTTACTCTATTTAGCAAAACTGCATCACCTTACACATGTTGGTCAGTGATAGTCACCCCCTACAATCTTCCACCAAAAATGTGTATGAAAGCATATTATATATTTCTTACACTTATCATTACAGGCCCACATAATTCAAAAGCAAAGATAGATGTATTCGTGCAACCTTTAATCGATGACCTTAAATTGTTGTGGGAAGAAGATGTGACTACATATGACATTTCCACCAAACAAAATTTCATCATGAGGGCAGCATTACTTTGAACAATTGGTGACTTTCCAGCATACAATATGTTATCAAGTTAGAACACTGCAGGAAAGTTCGTTTTCTCATATTACATGAATTCACTAAATCATTCATCTGTCAAAGCAACCAACACATAAAATATGTAACATCATACGGAGCAAGTATGATGCTTCATGAAAGAAAATTCCTCAAGAAGTTTGAGATATGTAGTTCAAGGAGTTTAAGGTTAGTCATCAACAATAATAATGTAATATTAATATATTTGCATTTTAATTAGTCTAACACATTACTCTATGTAGTAATGTCAATATACAGAGATTTATACTAGTTGCCACAGCATAATGCAAAGATTAGAAAAAAATTTGAAAAGCACAGATCGACTCGCCTGCGAGACATGTTTAGATATTAGGACATCGGGCCAGAGACTACTCTGAATTGGTGAGAGTATGTGACCTGACTTGACCAAAGTTTAGAGCTTAGAGCAACCCAAATTATACTAGAAGAATAGGCAGAACTAAGCTTTAGACGTTAGGGGTATGGGTAGCACCCTTCATACTAGGGGGGGCTCTGTTCCACACACTCAAATATATAACGATTGGTAAGAATTTTTACATATAATTCATATCATCTCATATTTGAATAATTTATTTTCTTATGAATATTAATCTAAGTATATTACAAAAAAAAAGCTGGGTAGGGAACCCAGTGCTATTGAGTTGCACACTCGCACCCACTAATGTCAGGAGGAACAACATTGGGTGGACAACCGAGTGAGGGCCTTGATGAGTCTTTAAGTTTTGAATATTAATAGAAATATTTAAAATGACACATATAAAATGATTATATTTATATTATCTTTTGATAGAAGTATACACGACTTCGAGAGAGTCAGGAAGCAGTTGGTGAGGAATCCTCTGCAGTATCAACAGATTATTCTAACTACAGCATATGGTTACAAATAAAAGGTGGAATACAAAATAGGAGAGTTTATGAATTAGGCTCACAAGCCTGTATTCGAGGGACAGTCCTCTGATTCATCAAGCTTCTCATCTAGCAGCCATGAGGGATTGGTTAGCCAACAGGGGGCTGCCCTGACAACAGAACTAAAGCAAATATGAAAATCACAAGCGGACTCGCAAATAAAGCAAAGTCAGATATTAGAGGAACTTCAGAAAATCAGGGAGCATTTTAATGAAAAACAATCTGCATCACCTGAGGAGAGTGAGTCAGAGTAGAGCGTTTATGGTTGTAATTATTTTGTTGGTTTTTTTAATGTTTAAGAACTATATGCTTACAGCTCACTAGAGAATTGTTGGCATATTGTGGAACCGTTATAATATTTCAAAACAGTTTGATCATCCTATAATGAATTGTGAATAATGCTTTTGTGATAATGTTGAAATATTTAACTAATTTAACTCTTTTAAGTGTTTGGTACATGTTCTGTGAAATATTGTAGAATAATTGACAGAAAATTATTATTTTTATCTACGCAACAGGTTTCCGACAGATTTTCTGTCAGAACTTCAATACGATGAATAATGTACGAAGATACTAATGGAAAATCATCAAAAAACCGACAGATTATCGGCAGAAATTTTCGACAAAACTACTGGACTAAATTTCCGCCAATATTTCTAGCAAAATTTTTTGCTTATAATTCGTCGGAACAACCGACGAAAAATGTGCTACTAAACTCCCAAAAATATAGACGTTCTTTCTTTTGGGAATTATTTCAATCAAAAATATCCAGCGCAAATTCATTTCTGACACTCATTTTACCAACAGAATATTATCCGTAGGAAATCTATAGGATATAAAGATTTTTGGCAGAATTTCAAGATTTTCCGGTGGATAATGCCGCCAAAAATATCCGCATTTTTTGTAGTGAATGGATGTGAATGTTGGTAGCACCCTCATGTTGATATGATAAGCAAATCGGGCTAATGGGTACATAGCACAAAAGCTATTTTGGAGGTCATTGGACTCCAATATATGGTTGAAAACGTTTCTTTTATTCAAAGTATTATAAATAATTCTTTATGTATTAAAGGTATAATATTAAATAACTAATAAGCCAATTTTTTATAAATAAATATGGTATGCGTGAAAATTTTGAATGTAGCAATTGTATATTTATATATGAATTCTTAGGAATTAAATAACATAACAATTATTGTTGATTAATTGCATTTTTTATTAATTTCCATCATAAAAAATGTATATATTTAATATGATGCAAATATTATAATTTTTATGATAATGTGTTTAGCTTAGTGTCACTTTTATTGATGATATTGAATGCTCTATGCCTCATAGTTTATAACTTGGCCAATAGATTTCACCTACTTGGTTTATTTCTTGTAAAGTCAGACTATTACCTTTAAACATTCTCAAGTTATTGTGTATCATTGAAATTAGAGTTTCTAGACTCATGCTTCAAGCATCATGGGAAAGAGATTAAGGTTAAAAATTATTAAGTGGTTTAATAACAATTTATTCCTTGGATGAGTTGTTGCAATGGTTACGTTTCCTATATATTTTGGTGAAAAATAATAGATGTTATTGACTTTAAATACTCCAACATTTTATTTTTTGTGATTATTTATCAGTTTGGATAAGTTTATATTTATGTGAATATTCAAAATTTATTATAAAATGAAGAGAATATGCATAATCAGAGTACATATTCTCCTGATTCATTGGATAAGCAAGTCATGCCTAAACAAGTGAAACCAACTAGAGCGGCAACAACACCATCTACTCTGAACTAACTACTTGAGCATGCTAAATCCCAGAACAATATTAACATCAATCCAGTATTATAAAAATGCTTCCTTAGATTTTCAAGTTTTGCAGATTTTCCAGCAAAAGAAATATAAAAACAAATTCATCAGACATGCATATTTATAATCTAGAGAACATGACATGGCAGGCCAATAGTAGATATAGAAGTACCTAAAACATTGCTCTGGATATGCATCCATCCGTTTCTTGAACTTCAAAAAAGTTCTGTCAGCACCCAAAGCCTTATCATATTCATATCCCTCTCCTTCCCAAACTTCTTCCTCTTTTTGATCATTAGAAGAGTCATTTTCTTGTTTAACCGAAAGTGCAGTATAATTGGCACAAAGGGCAGTAACTTCACCAAAGGATTGATCTTCCTGAGGATATATATAAAAGCAAGGAACCGCTACAACCAAGATATAACATAAGCCACGCCAGTTCAAAAAATATCAAAATATAAACTCTAGGAAGCAAATTACTTTTTCTATGGGATTAAAAAAAAAACGTGATGTTTAAACCATTAGTGATTCATCAAAAAAGTTATATCATACCAGGTCTGCCAGAATTTATGTCGTCTAGTATTGGCTTAGATTGCATACTCTTCGTAGTAGCTTCTAAAATGGAGGAGCCTTTCTGCTTTATAGAATTAGAAGCTTGAGAAAAAGCTTCAGAAAGTTCCCGAGCCAATTCACCAAAGTCTAGATCATCATATTCGTCATCAATACTTTCTCCATTGTCACTCACCAAGTCCTCCTCAACGCTTTCATAGTTAACACTACCCAAGTTTTTCTCATCCCCATTGCATATTTTAGAAGGTTTGGAATCTTGAAGGATATCATTTAAAAGCTTCTCGCTAGTGCACTTTTGTATGCGAAGAGCTCGCCAGCTGCAAACTTTATTTCATGAAAGCCAAGAAAAAGAAAATAGTAAACTAGATGTTTTCTTTACAACCATACCACTTAGGACTGCTTCCACATTTTGACGTTAAACAGCCAAAGACATAGATGACTCTCTCCTGAACATTCGATTTGGGCATTTTAATTGGAGCATATACCTGAAATTTTACATATTAAAAGAACAAATAAAAAAGTGCAGAAGCTTGGAATTAAGCACTCATATATAGAACGATCTTACTTAGAAATTACTAGCAAATACCTAGTAACCACTTGCCTGGGCAAAAAGGCAAAGCCTTTCTCCGCACAAAATGCATTTTGTTAGATCAGTCTCGATAAACATGTCGGGGATTGGCCAATCCTGTCAGATAAGTAATCAAGATACAAAATATGCTCAATGGTTGAATAAAAAATAACAATTTTAAGGAACTAAGATGGTAAATGATAGTGCTCTTGATGATGATTAAGATCAAAGAGTTTTTTTTTTTTTTTTCACTTACAGGCAATCCTCCAATCTTCGTAGTATAGTGATCAGCTTTTTCCAGGAAGTTTTCCGCCCACGGGCCAGGCATCCCAAGAACTACTCCTGTCATCTCCAACCTAGCTTCTTGAAGGAATTACAATGATTCTTAAGAAAGATGTAGACGATTGACGAATTTTAATTTGAGTGAAATTGATTCTTGAAGGAAAAATACAATGATTAAAAATTTTAAATATGAATGAAATCGATAACTTTAAATCACATAACCTCAAGTAAAGCTCGACCCCTCTCTTAACAAAGAATAGACATCTTTTTTCTAATTTATTATGGACAAGGGCTTTGTTTTCAACGGTGAGAAGAAGATGGAGTTGCATCCAAACCTTTCAGATCAATCGTCGTCTCAACACCGCCACTGCAAATAGAGAAGAAGATGGAGTTGCATCCAAACCTTTCCCGTCGATCGTCGTCCCAACACCGCTGGCGCAAAAGACTTTGAGGAGTTGCACGTGAGGTTGGGTCGTCATCCCAACACAGTTGAAATCAAAGAAGAGAATGTGAAAGACAAGAAAATGAAGTTGTTGTAGGGAATAGAACAAAGGGTTTGCAGGAGTTTTAAGTAGGTAATGTATATAATAGGAAATACGAACGGTTATGATTTATTTTGGGAAGAATTATAAAGGCTAAATGTATGATTGATATTTAGTTTGAGAGAAATCACAAGAGATATTTGTAATAGTAGTATCGAATTGAGTGATAGAGAAATTGAATAGTCCAAGGATTCGACAAAGAGATGAAAAGGTTTCGAAGCATCACCTTTGATGTGGAGCAAGAATGGAATGAATGATGGAATGAATGGTTGAGTTTTACTGAGAATTATTTGTTAGGGATGAAAATGTGGAGATCAACAATCCCTAACAGATAACTAATAATAAGATTCATTAATGAATATAAATGAACATCATGCAAGTGTTTAGTTGCATTTTTTAAATATTATATTAAAATAGCTTTAAAATATAATAATATTACAATTTTAATACATATTTGTTACAACGGTAAAGGAGATGCAAATAGAAAGAAAGTGATCGTCTAAAGTATGCAGCCAAGCTAGCGACTTCTATTCCCATATATTTATTAAATTCTTAATAATGTGATTATATCAAAATTCTCAATCATGAGTTTCTTGATCCATTTTAGTTTTGTTAATGAGAATTTTTTTACACAAATCTCCTAACATTTATAAAATGCATGTCATGCAACTCAAATAACTTTATTATGAAGAAGAAAATTGGAGATATGGATATATTTAGGGCAGCCAATTATCAACTTTTAATGAATTCTAGAAGAGCAACTGCCTGATATAGTCGTCGGGACTTAATTTAGCTCAAAACTACACAATTTTATTCATTACAACTACATTGGCATCCACCAACAAAATCAATCATTCAAGAAAATAACAATAGTTGCATAGCTTTAGCGGCATCAGAAGTTACCTTGGCGGTCAACTCGCGCCTGATTTCCGATCCGACAAGAACAGCGTCCTAGAACTAGGCGAAGTCTTTAGCGACTCTTTCAATATTCTTCTTCACGAGAAGCACGCGGCAAGCTCCCGTCCTGCCTTCCGATCCGACAGGAACAGCCTAGGCTTAGCGACTCTTCGAAGGCTAAGCGACTCTTTCAAAACCCTTCTTCACGCGAAGCAATAGCGGTGGGATATGATGAGGCGCGAGATCAGACGCTGGAGATTTATTTTAAATTTAAGAAGAAAAGGTGAAGATTGCTATAAGTCACAAGTCATATTTATCTATTATTATTAGTACATATTATCATAGATATAAAATATTCAGAACTTAATTTTGGAATGGGTGTATTTAAGTTTATTTTTATAATTGGTTATATTTTAGGAGATATTTAAAACTAACTATTTAATTAATTATGATTGTCTCTATAGGCTTCATTTGGGATAGCTTTATTACTGTTTTTTAAAATAATTTTTTATACAAAACTCAAAAAAATTATTTGAAAAATAGTAAAAAAGTTATCTCAAACTAAATCGTAGTTGGCATATTTTGAGGAGGCGGAAGCTAAATAGTGATGACTTGTCAATTGATTGTAGTCTAGTGAAGCTATCAATGCATGATATTCAAAGACCTCTCGAGAGTTAGTTGGAGTTCATTGGTGACCTTTTAAAGTGAAAGAAAAATCAAAACTCTTTAAGGACTCAAAAGTAGGCTTATTTTATTATGATGTATTATCACTTAAAAATTAACTTACTTTTTGTGCATAAATCAATTGCGGGGCTGCTGGATTTGTTTTAAAAAAATAAAATAAAAAAGGGGCTGCTGGATTTGTTGGAAATGAAAAACACAGTAAATTGGTATATCTAACAAATATAATGTATTTAAAATGTTTAGAATTATTTAAGTAAATGTAAAACAAATGCAAATGATTTTTTTTATTTAATTTGAAGTAAAATGAATAAAATATAAATTTCAACAATGGTGGCGGCTGGTGGCCAACGAATGACAAACATAGCGATAAGTGGTTAACAGCAAGCATTAGTTGGCATCGGTGACGAGCGGGATTGTTGGGATGTGATGGGGATGTGATGAGTTGCTGGTTGACGAATGACAACATCAATGACAATGTTCAGAGTTAGAAATGACTGGCAGTGAGAGCAAAGTTAGCTTGTGGTGTTTTAAAATTCAAAATAAGAAAAAAAAAATGAATATATAAAATCGAATTACATAGTAAATTTAAAATTAGTCAATATTTTACTCTATAATCTTATCTCCATCAATTTAAACATCAAAATTGAGGATAATTAGAAGGTGGCTTTTAATATATCTTATGCATTTTAAGAATCATATTATGTTCAATCAGATCAATTTGTGTATTTTATTTTGCTAGTACCCTATTACGAGTAGTTTGTTAAATATTATTGTAGTTCATGTAAAAGAATAAATATATTAAGAGGAAAACATTATGACAAAATTGTTGAACAATAGAAAAGTGGAGGAGTTACAAAATATCAAGATTTAAATCAAGAAATTGCTTTTCAAAGGCCAGTAGACACTTGTTGGGGTTCTAACTATAATTCACTCATCAATTTAATTATTTTGTTCAGGTCTATTATAGAGGTTATTGATATAGTGACACATGAGGGATCCAATAGTGACCAAAAAGATGAAGCATATTCTTTACTTGAATATGTGCAAAGTTTTAAATTTATTTTCAATTTGTACATAATGAAGACTATATATATTAGGAGTTACAAATGAGTTATCACATGTATTGTAAAAAAGGATAATGAAATTATAAATGAGATTACTTTTATAAAAGTTTCTAAACAAAGGCTTCAAAATATGATAAATGATGGGTGGGACACTTTATTTAAAGAAGTTAAATTATTTTGTGAGAAGAATAGCATAAACATTTCAAACATGTCTGATTCGTTTGTGATGCGAGGGAGATCAATGTGTCGTACTGAAAGTATAACAAATATACATCATAATCAAATCAAATTATTTTACACTGTCATAGATATGCAACTCCAATAACTCAATAACATGTTTGATGAAATAAATATATAATTACTTATGTGTTTTGCATGTTTGAATTCATGTCAATCATTTTCAGCTTTTGATGAAGAACGATGGCTACACCTAGCTAGCGAAATATTTTCTATCAAATTTTTCAAAAATGGATATCATCATATTAGACAATCAAATTGAAAATTTTATTACTAATATGAGAATAAAAGAGGCATTTGTGAATTTAAAAGGACTTGGAGAACTTGCTCAGAAAATAGCGAAGACTCGAAAAAATGATATTTATCATTTGGTATTATTACTTGTAAAGCTTGCTTAGATATTGTTAATTGCTACAGCAACAGTCAAACAACATTTTCTGCAATGAACATTATAAAAAAATATTTTATGCAATCGTATGAGAAACTCCTAGATGAATGATTGTTTACTTACTTATATTGAAAAATCTATATTTAATAGTATCGACAATGAATTTATTGTACAATGAATTCAAAAAATTAAGACTCGGTGGGAGGAATTATAGATGATATGTAAGTTTTTTTGTTTATCATATATTCTATCTTTTTATAAAAAATATAGCAATTAAAAAAATAATTAAACAGTCAATGCTGCTCCCAAGCCCGGATGAAAAAGGTTGAGGGTCTTTTAATTACTTTAATGATTTGTGCCCCAACTTGAAAAAAATCCTAGCTCCGCCCATATATATATATAGAATGTGGTTGACTGGGATTATGGAGTCTACACTCATTTATATATGTGAGTCTACTTCTAGAAATTATCCATTATATGAGCTTTATCATTCATGATTTTGTATTATTTATGAGCACTTCATTGTAAGATAAATACACTTAGAGATATGATTGCAAATGATATTTCTATTTAATATGTATTGTATCATTACATGCTTTGAGCTATGAATAAGAGTAACATATATGAATGAAATTAGTATGCTTGCATGAGAATACATTTAAAGAAGGAAAATTTATAATTGAATTGTAAGTCTACATACCTATAGGAAGTTAATTAGTTGGTAAGGCTTACTTAACAACCATTAATTCTAAAATCTAGTAGATGTAGTCCTAAGAAAGAGGTACGAAGAACATGTGTCATACATGCAACACAGATAGAGCATGCATATTGATTAGGTACAACTCTAGCTAACAAATACATTAATAGACAACATGATGCTGATTCCAATATTTTTAACAGTCACTAAAGGAAAATCACCAATTTCCGGCGGCCTTTTATGGCGGAAATTGAGCCTTTTTTTCGAAGGTTTTGTAATTTTCTTGGCAGTTAAAATGCCGCCTGTAAATACCGGCTGTTTTTTTCCGACGACAAATTATTCCGACGGTCTTAAACTGCCGGTCAAATTAAAAAAGAAAATAAAAAAATCCTAGCATGCCACCCCCGCTCCACCGCGACCGCCACCCGCGCTGCCGGTGCCGCGCAAGCGCCCCCGCGCTCTCGCTCCCGGGCTGTCGGCAACGCACTCTAGCTCCCGCGCGCGTGTGCGCCCGTGTCTGCCGTGAGGTACGAACCGCATCAATTGGGAAGAAATTCAGGCAGCCGACCGAATTGCTAAATGTGTAAATATGTTCTTCTGTCAATATTTTTTATTTAAACTATATTCTGACCGTAAATAAATTAATTCTTTATTATAAAAAACTCTGATTAAAATTGCGCAACAAGAGGCGCGCCTCTGCGCAATTTGTCCCAAATACGCCTCGAGGCTTATGCAATTTTCCTCTTGACAGAGGCGTACGCCTCATCAACCCGGTCCCACGGTGGGTTAAAATTCACCGCACCAATCAGTATAAGATGTTTGACCACTGTTTAAACTTCCAGTACCGCTCGGTACAGAGCGGTACAGGCTCGGTACATGCTCGGTACCGAGCGGTACATGCTTGGTATTTTTTAAACGAGTCGAGCTCGAGCTTATTAATCGAGCTCAAATTCGAGCTCGAGCTCATGGAGGGTTAAACGAGCCAAGCTTGATGCCGGAAAATTCCGTGGGAAAAAGCCACCGGAAAAGTGCCAAAAAGCCGCCGGAAAAGTGGCCGCCGGAAATTAGTGATTTTCCTGTAGTGAATTATGATCATTAATGTATATCCCATTACATTGAAAACTTCATTGCAATTAATAAAATAATATTATGAACATTTTTTTTGACACTTATTCTATATTAGAAGATGAATTATTATATAAATTATTTCTCACTATTTTGATATGCATGGTGGCACTATCATGATATGCATAATATATACAATTTTATAAAATGGGCCATGCATGCATCATTTTGAAGTTGTGAATGTTATGCACATTCATTATTTATGACTGCTTTTAACTTTACATGCTCATTCACATCTATCATAACTCATCCCTTTCATAGAGTTTGTAAGTTATTATATTATTTTTATATCAAATGATATGAATTATGCTCCCTCGTGAAAAGCTTGGATTCAACAACGATTTTCTATTACTATGCCTCCATTATAGTTGGTTTGATTGTAACATAAAATGTTATTTTTAACACATTTTTTATTCAATACTCGTGTATATAATTTTATTCATGCATAGAACACTTAGTTTTTTAGCAACATATCTAGAATCCAAATGCAATATATAGCTATCAACTACAATATATTGATTCTTCATAATATTAAAATAATAATAATAATAATAATAATAGTATATATATATATATATATATATATATACACACGATTATAATTAGACCTATCTTATATATTTTTTATGTCAGCATAAAATGATGTTATTTTTTTCCTTCGTTTATTTAAATTATTGGTGAGACAAATTTGAGGAAAATTTCATTGAACTTTTTTCTTCCATATGTTAAACAGCCGTATGTGGGGAAATCATTAATTTGACTTCACAAACTTTTTTTATTCATTATTTGGACATGCTAGAATGCTTGACGTTCACAAACATACCAGAATGACCACTAAAAAAAAACCAGAATGACCACTCTGTATAAATACATATTATGAACAACTTATGCTCATTTATTTTTGGGTTGCACAAAGAATGGCGCATGCATTGTCCTGAATTTAGGCATTTTATCTTGGCAATCTATAAGGTCAGCCCATATGACAGGTTGAGGTTGAATAACAACTTTCATATATTTACAAACGTATATCCCGCAGTTGATGCTATTTTTCTGGGTCGGCACATCTTCAAATGTTTGGATCAGCCACTAGCGTATGTCATTATCAAAAGAATCATGTGTTTCTTCGTAAAGATGATCTATTTGATCACAATTTTGACACCGTATAAAATTCAATAAAGTAGACAAGAAATTTGATATGACCTTGTATTAATTATAAAATTTTACTCACAACTTGAGGAAGCACGACATTGTGAGTGTTTGTTTTTGGTAAGGAATCGTAAAATTGCCACACTTTGTTCTACAAGTTTCTGACAATAAGGGTCTAATTTATATAATTTTCATAGTAGTAATTTTGTCATTTTGATACGATTATAGTATTAATGTAAGAATTATGAATGAATACATAACATATTATTTGTTGAAATGAGCTACGTATAGTTTAGTGTTGTACTTATATAAATGATAACCCTGTCATAACGAGCAAAAAATTAGCAGAAAAAAACACAAACATCTAAATTTCTGACGAACCCAATGGAAGTTAGAAACAAATAGGAATAGTTGGTAAAGGCCTAGGCATAGCGGGTTCTTCTCAACTAGCAGAATGCCAAATGCATCAAGATGGTTGTTATCAATGTATGTTGTAGTTATAATTTCGTTAATTTGACTTCTATAAATAACAATGTTCCCAGTAGTAAAAATAATGTCATTTCTGAAAAATGGCAAAATTGCTCATTGATAAAAATCGGTACATAGAAGAGGCACTCGGTACCGTTTGGTACATGCTTGGTACCGCTCAGCATTAGCTAGTCAAAAACATAATCATAATTGAATAAGGAATAAAACTCACTTCCCTATGAAGCATCCAAATTTATGTGATATGTGTATGATGCTTGTAATAACCGACACTTTGTCGGCGCTTGCTCTTCTTTGGTAAAGAGCTCTATAATGATGAATGATGGTAAACAATGAACATATACTACTTTGCTTAGCCTCTCTTATGCAATGAACAAATACTACACTTCTAGCCTCTTATTTTATTGCTAATATTGAACACTAGATTAGCAATTTCATATTAATTTATGATGGTAACAACATAAACATTTACAAATAAGGATGATTGAATACAAAACTCAATTCACCTGCAACCCCGGTAGGTGATGTGGAGTGTAGATAGAAGCCTAGACACTAGGTTTCCTTAACCTATATCTTCCACATTCACATCATCTCTCTGTATGAGTATACATTTAGCCTAAGGTGTGGCACCCTAAGGTAGACAACATAGACGTAGGTGCATTATCCATAGGCCTATGAACTGCCCATTTGTCATTCTAGGATTAGGTCCCTCATCCCTTAGCCAAAGAGGTCCCTTTGAATGAGGTAATCTATGATTGTTAACAAGGATCCTCCAGTCGGCACTCGACTAAGTAAGCAAAGGACACCAATGAATCTGAGACGTTGGAAAATCATGGGATCTTGACCAGGGGCATCATACCCACATGGTAGGATAGGTTTTATTCCTAATTATCTACCCACTCGGACAATTAGTTCATCTAACATACACAAATCTTCTCTAAGAGTCAAAGGCAATTAACAAACCAACGAAAAGAAATAAATCAAAGATATACATGTTTAAATGATAAACATAATCAAATTAAAATTTATATTATATTTAAATTAAATTATATTCAAATAACCCCCTAAAAATTAAATCACACATAATATTAACTTAATTAAATAAGTAACATTAAAAAACATGAAAAAAACTAATACAATTATATTATTTGTTAATATTAATTAATCCTAAAATCAAAGAGAAATTCAAACTTAATCATGAAGTTAAATTTAAAATAACAAAAGAGAAAATTAAAAGAAAGAGAATGATAAAATGATAAGTAGTCAGTTAAAGATATAATAAAACCCATAAAAATATCC